GGAGCGGGCGGGAGAGAGAGAGAAGGGGGGCGGCCAGGGCTACAGCGGGGCGCTGCCACGCGGCCCCTCCCGCTGCGCCGCGACACCTGCCGGGAGGGCTCCGCTCAGCAAGGTGGGAAGGACGAGGACTGCCCTGCCGGGCTTCCTGCAGGGCACTCCCGTCCTCTGCGCCGCCGCCCCCTACAGGGCGGCCGGAGCGGAACAACAACAACAACAAAAAATAGCGGCCGTGCCGTCCTAGGATTGGGCGGAATGCCGCCTCATTCAATCTGCCGCCCCAAGCACCAGCTTGCTCGGCTGGTGCCTGGAGCCGGCCCTGTTTATCATGATTGCAATGGTCAGAAAATATCAGCACGTCTCACATCTACAAACCTGGTTCAATTTGCCCCCTCTGACCAATAGGGTTGCCCAAGGGATACATTTGGCTTATTGTCTGTCTCTCTACTCCCATCCCAACTCCCCTCTATTTGTGTTTATTTAGTATAGTCACTGTAAATCCATGAAAATTACAATTTGGGTTCTAAAAAAAGTGTTTTCTTCTCTATTTATTGCTGATCCAAATATGACCTAATTAAATAAGCTCTCTTTGACTCACCATAGATGGAAGCACTATTTTAAATGTAAATATATATATTATATCTATATCTATATCTATATCTATATCTATATCTATATCTATATATATAGATATATATATATAAAAAAAAAAGATGCCTATTCCCAGCTCTAGACTCTTTGACAATTAAGAGCTACAATTCATCTGACACAGTTTCTAAACAACGCAACACAAACATCTTAGTAATGGACATGGATGGAGTGTTGAATTCATGCAGGAAAATGAGAAGAGACACCATATCACCTGTGGGTGAACACTTTTCACAAAGCAATCACTCTATATCTGACCTATCAGTCCTCATCCTCAAAGGAAACCTGCACAACAATTTCAAAAGATGAGCCTGGGAGCTTAAACTCATAACTTTGCTAGACACTAAAAATCATGAACTGAATAGAGAGAGACTAGATTTATTGCTTATTACAACAATCTATAACTCACTACCACCCCCACAGCTGCCTTTTCCCTCTATGTCTAGAGGGACGTTAACAGACCACCTCACCTTTAACGGTCCCTTGAAATATGTGTTAACGAGTTATGTTAATCTGTTCCAACTTGTATTTAACTGTGACACACAGAGTACATTTCCCAGACCTGAAGAAGAGCTCTGTGTAAACTCAAAAGTGTCTCTTTCTCATCAACAGAAGTTGATCTAATAAAAGATAATACCTCACCCACCTTGTCTCTCTTAGTAATGGAGAGTCAGTCTGCTTACATCATTTAGATAGGAAATGAAACAGGAAACCAACTACATCTTTCCAGGTCTAGCATGTTCAATCACCAATTTCCAATACTGGGGATGAGCAGAGGTGGCCAGGTTTTGATTTTCACAAACCCTCAGCATCTAAGTTATGGGGGCCCAGATGCACTTCAAAGGAGTTCTCTCTGTGTGGGTGAAGGAATTCACCTGCCTACCTCCCAGTGCAGGATCAGGGCCCTGGTTTGGCAAAAGCAGAACCGGGCCTGGGTCTGAACTAGGTTCCATGTCATCTCAGCCTCCAAAGCTGGATAAGGTTTCAGTTTTGCCTCATCTCCATCTAATTATTAGGTGATAAATGCCCCTAACAGCGTATAGGAAAGAATAACCAATCAAAAGGCTGCTTGATAAACAGCGAAAGCCCTTCTGGGTGTCTGAGTGCTCTGCAGCCTTCACCCCTTACCTAGACACACCTATAGGAACATAAATCAGAAAGCAAGCACTCAACCTGGAAATATACAGCAGGGCAATACTCAAATCCCTGCAACATCAATAAACGCATTTCAATGGAGGGGGAAAAGCACAGGAATGTAACTGAGAAATCAAACTCTGATTTACATGCCATTCTGTTGCCCATTATCTGTAGGCCAGTCCCTTGACTAGCATGAGTGGCCTAACCACGGATAAAAATCAGCTAAGTCTCCCCACCACTTTCCTAAATCACGGGTTTAATATCAGTCTGGTTGAGTCTCCAAGACGACTGGGATTAAAGAGGGCCCTGGGTTCAGATCGTAGCTATCAGGTGACTGTGGACAAATCACTGGACCTCTTTTTTGCACTGTCAAGCTATCTGGGAGCCTGGGTTCAAATTAGGAACTCAGCTGAAAAACAGAGGTTGGACTGGATCTCAGCTTGTCTAGTTACAGCAAGAGGGTATACACATGCACACAAAGCCATTTTGTACTAAGAAAGGTTACTGTCCCCAGTGCTTTTCTAGAACAGCATCTCTCCCACAGTGGAATCCTGATCAAGAAGCAGCAGGAAGTGTTTACAATCTTCTGCCCACACTTATAAGGGAGTCACAAGACCTGGGCAAACCAAATGCATTTAAAGATACACGAAAGTGTGCTCTGTATGATCGGAAATCATTTCAACCTCCAGCTGTTTCCTTTGTGCTGTATTTCAATTTCAGATGAAAAACTTTATTTCATTTTATAGCTTCATATCTGAATATATTAAATTAGAAACAGAAGCCTCTTACTAATTTTATGTCTAGCTATTCTTCGGAAACAAATTAAACCAACATCCCATGTCCCAGTTTCAAATCTAGATCCAGGTTCATAGGTTGATCCTATAGCTACATTGAGTCAATCCCGACAGGCAGAATTTTTTAGATTTGGATCCTGATTTTGAACTCCAAATTCAGGAGTGTTCAGATCCCGGTTTTCAGCTTGGCTTATGATACAGATGCAATGTTTTGATCTGGGATTTTGGCTCTTATTAATTATTTGTACTGCACTAATGCCCAGAGGTTCCATTGTGGTGGATGCTGTACAACAACATAATAAAAGTCTCAGCTCCCAACAACTAAGCTTTAGGCTCTCCTCCCTGACCTGAAACATTGTTTCGGGGGATGCCTCTTAAATAGCAACCTTATAGTGATCATTATTAATATCTACATTATAGTAGCCCCCATGCCCCTCCAAGATCCCAAACAATCATGGTCCTATTGTGCTAGGTGCTGTACAGGCATACGAGAAGGCGTTGATTCATCTGTATCCTTCTAAGCATGCTCTCTTTCATATAGGGTGACCAGACAGCAAATGTGAAAAATCAGGACAGGGGGTGGGGTAATAGGAGCCTATATAAGAAAAAGACCCAAAAATCAGGACATCTGGTCACCCTACTTTCATATCACACACATGCACACAGCATTACCGTATGTACTGCCAAAGATGCTCTCTGAAGGAGTTTAAAAATAACCCACACTGCGAAGAGATGCAAATGAGACTAAGAACAAGCCCCACAATACCTTACTAATGGAGACTGGAGTCTGTGGAGCCTCATCCTTCAGTGCTGACAGGCTGTTTCCTTCCATGTCTTTTCCTGCAACAGAGCAGTATAAACAAGAAATGAGAATTTCTGTGGAAAGTCATGGCTACTCCAAGCAATTACTCTAAAAAGACCTCTGCTAATAGAGAGCAGGAGAAATTGTCATAGGCGATAGACACAGTAGGGCAGCTCCAGGAAGACAGTGCTGCTTTAAATAACCTAGTCCATATGTAAATTAACTTCAGAAAACATGTTACAGATTTGCTGTAAGAGTTTCAGATAACAAAGGGCACTATTTAAAATGTTTGGTCTTTTCAATTGTTACTATTTAAATACTATATCCAAAAAACACTAAAAAATGAGTGTTAAGGTTGCAAAGTCAAGCACTCAAAGAGTAAGAAACGCCAGAATTAAGGCTGCCTATGCACTCTTAATTTGGCCCCCTATTCATTAGGAGATGGTCTTTAACTACATGTTCACATACTATTTTTCCACTGGCCTTCTGCCTCATTTAGTGCACAAAATGAGCCCCTGGTGAATTAAGAAGAAGCTTTTCAATATTTTGTTGTATCCTCCTTGCTCAATGCATGGCCCCATACCTAAATGTATTTGACAGTGTACATTCTTTTCAACAAATATTAACCTTAATTATAAAATCTTATAGAACGAGAACTGTATCTAGATGTAATTAAACAATGAAACAATAAAAGATTACAGGTTTTCTGGAATCAGCTATTAAGATCCCCTGACCAAGAGGTTATTGGATACAATAAGAAATATTAATAATAATAGTTAGCATTTATGTAGGGCTTTATATTTTCAAAGCAGAGTACATGTATTTCATACATGTTGAATATTTTAATGTTATAAAATATGTAATTCTATTCAGGACAATACAATGTTATTATCTACACAAATTCTGTATTTTTGGTAAATTGTAATGATGTCCATACACTAAAGGAAAACTTATAACCCCTATTGAAAAACCCATTCTATTAGACTAGATTTTTATTTGTCTTGACACTATTCTTTCCCAAGTCCAAAGTAACTTTGTTTTCAAAATTATTAGTGCTTAGGGTTCACAATGCTTGATACAGTAAATAACCACTAAAACTGTTGGCCAAAACTCAGTGACAATGTATTACCACCAGACGTGTTCATAGAGAAATTTCCAAACGCTACCGCAAGGTAGACAAGTCTCAGAGACACACAAAAAACACAGGGGGAAATCCTGGTGCAGCACTACTGAAGCCAATGAGAGTTTTGCCACTAACTTCAATGGGACCAGAATTTCACTTAGAGCATTTAGTGCAGTGGACTGGAAGTCAGGACTTGAAGCTTTATTCTTTGCTCTGCCACAGATGTCCTGTGTGACTTTAGGCAAGTCTTATCACCTCAGTGCCTCAGTTCCTCCATCTGTAAAATATGGATAGTACTTGCCTACCTGATGGGGTGCTGTGGATACATTAATGCATGTTTAGGAGAGCTCAGATACCATGGTGATGGAGAATCATAGAAATTGGACAAGTAGTCCTATATATAGTACCACTAGTACCATTCTCGGCTTGGGCCAATGAAACAAGAAGTATATTAAATAACTGTACAACTGAATCAAGTACAAACTTGGCATGTCAGTAAGAAGCAAAGTCTTAAAAATGCATCTAACAGCAATTTAAGAAGCCAAATGCAATGAGGCAGGCAGAATCTTGTGGAGGAAATTAAGTTTCTTATGACATTTTTTCTGTTAAACTTTCATTATAAAATGGGTGAGAGAACAATCTGTTTGGCTGGGCTGTATTGATAAATAATCGGAGTTGTGACTGTAAAGTCGATAGGATTTCACTGATCAGTATTGTTGAGGTTCTGTGTAGAAAACTGCTGATTACAGTCACTGATCAGCAATTCAGAGCCTCGTCGCTTTAGTTAATAGTATAAATGCTTCTCAAATTTAATTTTACAATTGCAAAAAGGCTCTCTGGACTCAGGATATCACTGAACTGAGCACCTTCAGCTTCCAGCATCATGGTTAAGTGCCCCTGTGAATTCAGACACAAGTCCCTATGCGCCTCCTGCTGTGGAGTGCAGAGGAATTGACCTAAGAAAGCAAATGCCTCCAGAGAAAGGAGAGGATAGGGAAGGGGGATTTATCTCCATTTTATACATGGGAAACAGAGGCTAGGTCTACACTACAGCGGGGGGTCGACCTAAGATACGCAACTTCAGCTACGTGAATAGCGTAGCTGAAGTGGCGTATTTTAGGTCGACTTACCTGGCTGTGAGGACGGCGGCAAGTCGACCGCTGCCGCGCCGCCGTCGACTCCGCTACCGCCTCTTGCCGCGGTGGATTTCCGGAGTCGACGGCAGAGCCATCAGGGATCGATTTTATCGGGTCTTCACTAGACGCGATAAGTCGATCCCCGATAGACCGATTGCTACCCGCCGATCCGGCGGGTAGTGAAGACATGCCCAGAGACACGGGGAGGTTAAGTGACTTACCCCAGGAAACTAGTGCCACAGCCAGGAACTGAACACAGATCTCAAACTACCAATATAATTCCTTAACCATAAATTCATCCTTCCTCTTAACAATCCTCTTTTCCCCTTCAGAAAAGGAGGCCAGAATAGCTACTTCATTCTCTGATGGACCCAGCTGCCTCTGTGCTTAGTTTGTCATGTGCACCACTTTCCTGTCATATGCCTTTGAGTTCAATATGCTATCATGGAGCAGATCACATCATGCATAATACCACAGATCACAATAAAGCACTAAATTCAAACACAGGAATAAGACAAGGCTGAAGTTGGTTCCTTATTCACAGTTCCTTAGTTGTGGTACTAGCTCCTTATTCATAGTTCCCAGCTCCTTATTCAAAGGCAGTGTCATGCCATGTCATATTTAGTCATGCATGCAATTCTACACTTGCATGCAAAATGGCATCCTCCACACAGCATGACCTCATACATACACTGCGTGCGAGGTCATGTTGTGTGGAGGATGCCATTTTGTCCATGCGATAGGAGGCTGGATGGAGTTGTCCCACAGGCAAAGCTGGTCCTGGGGCATGCAATGCATGCCTTGCATATAGTGACTACACATCACTGAACAAAGGCCAAAGCAGTTTTAAAATAGAGCACTGCAAGATTAAGTTGTTAGAAATGTTATCAAATTAGTGACTGTGATAAAAATTTAAGTTACGAATTACTTAATTATATATTAAATAATCACATAAGGAGCTGGGTTTTGACTCGCTGTACATGACAGATTAGGTCTCAGGTCACCTCAAGTGACATCTCTGCAACCATCAGACTGTTCTAAAGCTAGGACATACCACTTGCTGACCTTACAGGAGTGTTGATACTTGGGCCTACAAATTTACCCTAATTGTAAACTCAATTGTAAAAAGTATAGGAAAGTTCACAACATGTTAACATTTGTTACTGCAGGTTAATGTAACAGAAAGTCAAGTTGCTTTCAATAACAAGTGTTATAAACAGGCATAAGAGAACCAGATAGAGAGACTAGAGGAGTCCAAACAAGAAGGTCACGCTGATATAATTCAAGGATTATGCTGAAATTCCCAAGGATTATGGAAAAGCAGACAATGTGGAACCAGAAATTAATGAACCAATTTTGGTTCGTCGGATATTAGGCCTAATTGGTAGACAAAATAATGAGGGGATGGGCTATTCCATCCATCCTTCCCTCTGTGGGTCCTTAAAGAAAGATTTGGGGAAGAAAATAGAGAACAGATGGAGGCTAGTGGAACGAGCTTCACCCTCATGACTGCCACCGTTACCATTTCCTGGAACCCCATGCCTTTGTCATCCTGATCCTGAGAGAGGTCCTGACCAGACCAGGCCAGAGAGAGGGAGCCAGATGACACTGCCACCGCTACCAGCTCCAGCTGAATCTCAAACACCACCTGAGATGAAACGGGATTGGACTTTACCAGCAGCAGCAACAGCTCCCTAGGGTTGCCAACATTGCATTTAAAAAATAAGGGACTGATTTCTTAGCATTCTTGCCACGCCCCACCCCACCCCACTCTCCTCCAGATATTATTTATTATTATTGATGATGATAATAATCAGCAGTGCTCACCTACATTTGCCAGGGGTATTTCTTGCTGCTTTTTGCAGCACTCAGCATCTTGTTGTACAGAGATGAAAAAAATAAGGGATGTCTCTTGTAATAATAATGGACTGTTGGCAATCTTAGTTCCAGCCCATCTCAACTAACTTCTCTTTTCCCCAAAAGGACGGCGATTACTATCTTTGATACCATCTAGGACAGTGATTCTCAACCAGGGGTACCCGTACCCCCAGGGGTACACAGAAGTCTTCCAGGGGGTACATCAACTCATCTAGATACTTGCCTAGTTTTACAACAGGCTACATAAAAAGAACTAGTGAAGTCAGTACAAACTAAACTTTCATACAGACAATGACTTGTTTATACTGCTCTATATATTATACACTGAAATGTAATACAATATTTATATTCCAATTGATTTATTTTATAATTATATGTTAGAAATGAGCAAGTCAGCAATTTTTCAGTAATAGTGTGCTGTGACACTTGTGTATTTTTATGTCTGATTTTGTAAGCAACTATGTTTTGGGTACACAAGACAAATCAGACTCCTAAAAGGGGTACAGTAGTCTGGAAAAGTTGAGAGCCACGGATCTAAGAGACTGTCAAAGAAGGGCATTTTCCTTCTAAAATGGAAGGGCCCTCCCATTCCCGCTAGTCCCCCATCACCTTATACCCCAACACTTGCCTCTCATTCCCACCTACTTTTCCACCCCAGTCACCTTCATAGAAAGCATGTGCAGTTTTTTTTGTTTTGTTTTTTAAGAAAGTCATTTCAGAGCTTTCTGAATACTCTGCTGTACTCAGATATTTCCCAACAATAATAAAAAACCCTTTGACAGAGGCAGATTGGGTTGGTGCCTGGGATAGCACTTAGATTAGAGAACCATAACATACCCCGGGAGCCACACAGATCCTGTGACGGAGAAGTTATTTTACAAATAGTTAGCCTCTCTCTGCA